TGATGTTGTTGTTGTTGTTGTTTTTCTCTTCCATTCTATGTAGGCATGTGCACTTTCATAAAAAAATAAAATAAATAAAAAAGTCATGTAGCGCCAATCTCAGAACTATCATTTCCCTATTTGCGCGAGTAGGTGTGTGCATTTTCAGGCGCAGGGGTGGGGTCTTTTGAAGTCGGTCCCACCCTGAGTGTATGGTCCCTATTGCATGCATCACTAAAGGCCAAGTCAGTTGCAAACTTGCAATGCATTACTTTTTCACCTCTGGACTTCGCTTCGCCACCCCACCCGGTGAATGTTTTGCCCGGCCTTGTAACTAAGTCAACTTGAGGTGGCAGTCTGGGTTCAGAGGGTCAAAAAACAAAGTTTCGATTTTCTGTATTTTTTCACTGGCAGCGTCTTGTGTATGGTCCAAAGGGTTTATCCTGAAAATTTGAGCGTAATCGGGTGCTTCCTTCCGGAGATATAGCCGCGCAAAGTCTGCACAATTGTTTTTGAAATACTGAAATATCAGCAAATTTCTACAAAATTTAGGTTTGCACACTATTCCGATTTTTACCGTCAATCTTTGAGCGATTTCATTAAAATTTTCTGGAGCGACTCCTGGTACTCCTCTGCGCTGCAGACTGACAGCCGCGCACGATGTTTGTCACCATGGCAACCAAGATAACTTTTGCGCATGCGCAAATTCAAAAAAAATTCAAATTTCGACTCTCATGATCTCAGCTGATCGCTCTGCTGTTGAAACTAGTTACTTTTGGAGTAATTGTTTTGGAGTAATTGTTTCTTGGAGCTAACCCCTTCGTTGGCTACTATGGGGAAGTCTAGAGCCAAGGGAAAGCCCGGACGATCTAAGAAAAGGAAAAGAACGTTCTATGGAGTGTCTCAGGCGCCGAAGGCTCCCTCTGGTGAAATTTCGCCTGCAGAACAAATTCCTGACTTGCCACTGTCTGATGACGACCTTGAAGTGTCAGCTGAAGCCACGTCTTCAAACAGCGATAGTGATGGAAGTGGCGGTGAAGTCGACAGCAGTTCCTCCGACAGTGACTTGGATGAAGAGTGTGAGGAAGGGGCGCATGGATTTCGCCTGATTGATCTCGAGTCTTCAGCAGCTTTTGTCAGCTGCAGTTTGTTGCAGTGGCTGTAATGGCGCAGTCACGATCAGCGAATCGCAACGGGGAGGCCTTGCATCATGCCTGGAGCTTTCCTGTGTTAACTGCGGCGACATAGCAAGCGAATTTATGTCCAAGAAGTTCAATCGGGTCTGGGAGGTGAACAGACGAGCAGTATTCGGAATGCGACTGATTGGCCGTGGACGTCAATCAATGGTAAAGCTGGCGGGTGCACTGAATATGCCATCACCTATGAGTCGGTCGACATTTTACAGCCATGCTAAAGGCCTGCATTCCGCGTCCAAGAGCGTCGCTGAGCGTAGCATGACTGAGGCAGCTGAGAAAGCAGTGTCCGCAGCAGATGGGGGTAGCGATATCGCTGCTTCCTATGACGGTACCTGGATGCGCCGAGGATTCGCATCGCTCTTCGGAGCCTTCACTATAATTGCATATGATGTCGGCAAAGTGGTGGACTGCGAAGTGCTTTCAAAGTTTTGCCACAAGTGCACGCACTTGGCGTCTAGAAAAGAGAAGGGAGAGCTAACCAAAGATGACTATGATCGACAGATTGCCGAACACGATTGCTTAGTCAACACCACTGTATCAGCTCCTGCCATGGAGAGTGCAGCCGCCAAGACTCTGTGGGCCAGGTCCTTTGAGAGCCGCAAGCTGAGGTACACCACCTACATTGGTGATGGAGATACCAAGAGTTTTAAGGCTGTGCGTGACGCTTGTCCGTATGGGCCCGAGGTGCCTGTAGTCAAGGAGGAATGTGTCGGCCACGTTCAAAAACGCATCAGTACCAGCCTAAGAAAGCTGAAGAAAAACCTTGCGGGCAAGAAGCTTGCTGATGGGCGCACTATAGGCGGACGTGGTCGCCTCACGGATGCCATGATCGACAAGCTGCAAGCCTACTATGGCATGGCTGTGCGGAACAACAGCGGAGACTTGCAAGCCATGGCCAGGGCCATATGTGCATCCCTCATGCATCGTGCATCCAGCGACAGTAAACCTCAGCACCAGTATTGTCCGCCTGGAATTAACAGCTGGTGTAGATGGCAGCAGCAACAGGCAGGTGGTGATGTCTACGCCCACCACAATATCCTGCCAGAGGCAGTATGGAAGGAACTGAAGCCGGTCTACATTCGGTTGTCCGACCGGAGTTTGCTCGAGCGCTGCCAGAAGGGTGCTACGCAGAATCGCAACGAAGCGTTCAATGGACTCGTGTGGCAGTTGTGTCCAAAGACAGGCTTTGCATCCGCTCCCACTGTCCAGATGTGCGTCTACCTGGCCGTGGCGTGGTTCAATGATGGAGGTGTGGCAGTGAAACGCGTTCTGGACGAGATGGGCCTCCCTACTGGACACCATACGATACGTCTCATCAAGCTGCTAGACCGTGAGAGACAGGCACATGCTGCCAGAAAGAAGTCAGAAGAAGGGAAGAGGTCATGAAAGAAGCGAAGGAGGATCAGGAAGGGCATCCAGGATGAGCAGCAAGAGGAAGAAGGTTTGACATATGAAGCTGGTGGCTTCGACTAAGTTCTAGTAAGTTCTAGTTGGACAGACGTACCTCCATCTGTACTTGCACAGAGCACTTTTTTTCTCCATTTTCCACTGAGTCCCGTACCTCTTAGACAGCGTAGCGAAGAACCTGTAAGTCACAGACCCCATAAACCATACATTTTTGGAAACTGTGAGCATTTATCAAGGTGCTAAGTGTCATGGATTTTTATATTTGTCTAGTAGCTTTGAGTAAAGTGCTACTGATCGAGGACCTAAATTTTGCGCGATTGCATGATTTTTGTTTGACAGCTTGAGTACTTTGTTCTGAATATGATTTCAAAATTCCGCTCCACTTAGCACCTAGGTATATGTGAAGGAAATCCTGTGGAGCACTCAGTTTCTACCCAGCTTCTTTCTGCGTTTGCATATTGCGTCTAAGGTATTGGTGGTACGGCATAATCGCAGATTTGACTATTGTGTCTGCGGATTCCCATGTGTGAGCTTGATTTATACTTCATTGGACTTAGTGAAATACACTGGGTATGTCGTCAAGATTTGAGCAAAATTCATCAATTATTATGGAAGTTACGGCTGTGTTCATGCGGTCGGGCCGCGAACCCAGACTGCCACCTTGAGTGTGGGTCACAGTAGTAGGGGCTTTCCCCACCCTCTTAAATTCATGCATGTTGAATTATGGATGGCTGTCACGTCAGTCCAGTGAGTCAAGATTCAAAACGATACGGGAATGTCACTGCACCAAGTATGGCTCAACACAACCTGACCTTCCTGAATAAAAGTGAGGACGAGGGGATATTGCAGGCATTCAGGGTTGGAGCAGTAAACGGTCCGAATGCCATTATACGTAACATTACACTATAGCGGCCTCTGTGTGCTGTCTAAACGCCTATAGCTTGGCTTGAGTGCACCACGCACGATATCGTATTCGACTTTCCAAACTGAGATACCCCGCATCAATTTGACTGGTTCCAAAGGGATAGCTCCACTAGGATCCAACTCTCCCTTCCTCTGGCCCGCTCTTCTGCATTGCTACACTCCCCCCCCCCCTTTTCAATGGCTATTTGCATTGGCTTTCCCGAGGATACGGGAGAATCACCCCGGGGATTGGTAGATACAGTCATAATATCGATGTACACTGTGCTCTTGATAATGCCGGTAGTAGTATGATGTAGGATGATGTTCGACTTCTACCCAATGCTGTAGACAGCAAGCTGTTTCGGCCATAAAGGCATCATGATCGACTTTTATTTTATTGTCTTCATTTGATATTTGATATTTATTATTTAAAGGATTTCCCAAAGGCATAGCCTATCGGGGGGATCTCCTAACAGTGAAAATGATCATTGATTTATATACTAGTGAAGCGACTTGTGCAGGCAAATATATGCCGTTTATAATGAGCGCGAAATTGTGTCCGAAATTCTGAAACAGAATCTAAAGCGGTAATCTTGGGTGGAAGGCAATTCCATAATTTGCCGATTTTATGTAAGAAAATGGAAGATGAAAATTTCCGATGAGAGTTGAAAACAAGCTTGTTCGGTCTGCGTTCACTACGAGAAATGTTGATATCGAAAAGATTTAAGATATGAGGTTGAAAGTGGATGTATTTGAAAAGAATTGTAATAGCGATGAGGGTACGTCTGAAATGGAGGGATTCTAAGTTACACATACTATTTAAACCATCTTTTGATTCATATCTGTCAAATTCTATCTTGGAGGGTACATCGTGAAAGTGGGGCAGTTGTTTTTTTACACCTTCAAAGAGGTTTGAGCTGCAGACTCCCAGCGGATCAAGTCAATAAAGTAAAAGGAGTTGTGTAAATAATTCCGACGAATGGGGT